GAAAAAAGGTTTTTTCTTAACAGCGGTCGTCCCTCGGCAGGCAATGGCAAACCTCCGAGTGTATTTCTGCCATGAAAAACAGCTTCTCATAAAAATACAATCGCTGTTCGGAGTCGGCGTAAAACTGTAGGTCCCTCCGCTTTGTGTGACAACATCAAGGCGCACGCCACAAATCGGAGGAGAAGCTCGGCCAAACACTAACATATGTGTAAGCGCCAATCTATTATTATTATTATCTTACTTACCGTTTCGGTACCCTACGTCACTCTCACCAAACAGTAAAACTAGAAGTACTATTTCCAACAAATTAAAATTGTTTATAAGATTCCATTTTGAAAATGGCCGTGTTTCGAAGTCAAGAAAACATTGCAGAACTTTCGGCAGTTGCAACAGAAGGATCTTGTGCAATATGCACGCAACCTCTAGAAAGCAACCAAGAATGTCTTTTGACAAGTTGTAATCATGTTTACCATTGCAATTGCATAAAGACATGGTTAACCAACTCCTCGGAATGTCCTTGTTGTAGACAATTATGCCACCTTCGCGATTTACAACCAATTACTATTCATGTTGCGTCTAACGGCGACAGCAACAATCGCTCAAAAAATTCTAATAACAACAATTCCACTCGCCCGAAGGAGAAAAAGCGTTATCATACTCGCTCCCAAAGACAGCTTAATGCTGACGTAACTCAAGCTCCATCTAAAAATGACCAAGCAGGCGTTGCTACAAACTTAACATTACCACTGCTCCAACTCGGAGATACACCAGGCCCACCTACTCATAATACCCGGAATAACAATCAAAATCGTAGTAATACTTTTGGCAGGTCAAATCCAAATTCTCATCAAAATAATCCCAATTGTTTAAATAATGTGAATATTGAACAAATTATAGAAGCTAGTATTAGTATTAATTTAAATATACAATCTACTGCGGCTGCAGCACGTAGAGCTGAACCTGAACCAGTAATTCATGAACGCATCAATGTAAACAACGGAAATAATCGTCACTTTGGGCCAAGTCAATCACAAAATTTTCTAAATAATCCACAAAAAGTAACATTGGCAATTCAAAATTGGAATGTGAAATTCGATGGATCGTCAACTGGATTAAATTGTGAATAATTTCTTTACCGTATACGTACACTTACGGCTGCTAGTCTTGATAACCATTTCGAGTTAGTCTGCAATAATTTGCATATTTTATTAAATGGCAGAGCTAAAGATTGGTACTGGAGGTACCACAAACAGGTACCCAGGATCGAATGGTCTGCTTTTTGTGCCGCTTTACGCTACCAATTTAAAGATTTTCGATCCAGGTATGACATTATGGAAGAAATCCGTAACCAGAAACAAAAACCAAATGAATCATTTGAGGCATTTTATGATGATATTACATCCATAATAGATCGCTTAGCAGAACCAATTGAAGAATCAGAGATAATAGAACTAATTTCTCGTAATTTACGTTCCGATATTCGGCATGAATTGCTATATGTGCCAATTCATTCAATAGCACATTTGCGCATGTTATGTCAAAAGCGCGAAAACTTATTATGTGCAGAAAACACCAGGCGCATACCGCCATCTCGAAACTATGCAACGAACGTGCCAAGGCCCAAAATTTCAATGGTTGACACTCATTCAGACGGGTATGAAATTGTTAATACGGAAGCGGAAGTAGCTGCTTTACATAACACCGATTCAAGCAGACTTATTGTCTGTTGGAATTGCGATGGTAGTGGACACACTTGGGATATGTGTGTGCAAGACCGGAAAATCTTCTGCTATGGATGTGGCGAGAAAAATGTGTATAAGCCACAGTGTAAAAATTGTATTGCTAAGAAGGCAAAAAACCCCTCAACGAGGCCATTCGAACCTCGAGTGGCTTCGTAACGCCTTTGGATACACCTTCTGAAGTTTTACCGGCTAGCTCAGCAAATCCCGAGTTTAGCAATTATAAAATTCTCAAACGAGAATCGAATGAATATACTTTTAACCGTCAAATTTTCCCAATTAGACCATTACATGAGAAATGGCGAGATTACAATGAGATTCGAAATCGTATTTTTGCAGGTGAAGATTCCATTAAAAAAATTAAGCGTTCAACGCTTAGATTACGCAACTTTTGGAAAGCTTTACGTGAAAATAGAACAAAATTAGTTTCAACTGTAATAACTGATTAATCAGGAAATATGTATTTTGCAGAAGTGGAGTTTTTAAATTTCCAGGAATTAGGATTGCTTGATACTGGTGCTAATATCAGTGTTATAGGCCCAGATTTGGCTAAAACTGATTTTTCACATATTCCCACATTTCGCAAGGTGTCGTCTTCGGCCGCCACTGCAGATGGGAGAGCACACGCAATTGTTGGTACAATTATCGTAGACATGAAATACGGGACAGAAGTGAAATCCATTAAATTACATATTATGCCATCATTGTCTAGAAGGCTTATCTTGGGTGTAAACTTCTGGAAAGAGTTTCGATTAGCTCCCAATATCATTACAGCCATTTCTTCGTCTGATGAAAATGCCACCACAACTCCTGCTGATGAGAAATGTTATCCTTTAACTGTTAACCAAAGAAAACAGCTGGAGGCTGTGAAGTCTTTATTTCCCAACTTCGAAACGCAGGGTTTAGGTAAAACTAAGTTAATCAGGCACGAAATCGATATCGGAAATGCGAAACCCGTGAAGCAAAGGTTTTATCCTATGTCGCCTGCTGTCGAATTGTTAATGTTTAAGGAAATCGACAGGATGCTCGCATTAGATGTAATAGAAGAGGCAACAAGTCCGTGGAGTTCGCCTATGCGTTTGGTGATCAAACCAGGCAAAGTGCGTTTATGCTTGGATGCGCGTAAGGTAAACGAAGTAACCAAAAAAGACGCTTACCCGTTACCTTCACTTGAGGGCATTTTCGCTCGCTTACCAAAGGCCAACTTAATTTCGAAATTAGACCTCAAAGATGTGTACTGGCAAATACCGCTTTCTGAGGAATCGAAGCCCATTACTGCTTTCACCATACCAGGACGCCCTTTATATCAATTCACTGTTATGCCGTTTGGGTTGTGTAATGCACCCCAAACTATGTGCCGCCTGATGGATCAGCTTATACCACCAGATCTGAGGCATTGCGTGTTTGGCTATCTGGACGACTTGTGTGTTGTATCTGACAGTTTCGAAACGCATTTAGGCATACTGGTAAGAATCGCGGAGCAATTTCGTAAGGCCAACCTCACTCTCAATATCGGTAAAAGAAAATTTTGTGTGACGCAGGTTAAATACCTTGGTTACGTAATAGGTAACGGTGGCGTGGCAACAGATCCGGGGAAAATACAGTCGATACTTGCGTGGCCCGTACCAAAGAACCTTAAACAAGTTCGGGGATTTCTCGGCTTAGCCGGTTGGTACCGACGCTTTATCGAAAACTTTTCTGATGTCACTTTTCCGATAACCGAAGTTGTGTCTACGAAGAAGAAATTTGTCTGGACCGACTCTGCGCAAAAAGCTTTTGAAAATATTAAAACCCTATTGACCATAGCACCAGTTTTGCAAAACGCCGATTTTTCGAAGAAATTTTTTCTTCATTGTGATGCTAGCGATTTTGGCATTGGCGCTGTACTCACTCAAATTTCAGACGATGGCGCCGAACGTCCTGTGGCCTTCATGTCCAAAAAACTTAACACCGCGCAACGCAACTATAGCGTAACGGAACGCGAGTGCTTAGCTGCAGTTGAGGCCATAGAGAGGTTCAGATGCTACCTGGAGCTGCAGGAGTTTGAGGTGATCACTGACCACTCAAGCTTAGTCTGGCTTATGAGACAGCAAAATCTAAAAGGTCGCTTAGCACGCTGGGTGTTGAGACTGCAACCGTATAAATTTTCGATAAGTCACAGAAAAGGAAAGGATCACGTTGTACCAGACGCATTGTCGCGAATGTATGCTGACGAAGTTTGTAGCCTGGAAAGTTGCACACCAGAAATAGATTTGGGTTCTCCTCATTTTACCAGTCCTGAATATGAAACTTTAAAAATGAAATTTCTCGCCAACCAGACAAAGTATCCGGATATCAAAGTAGTTTAAAAGTACTTATACATACGCACGGAGCACTATCAAGGCGTTGAAGTGCAAGAGCAACACGCGTGGAAATTATGGATTCCTTCACAGATGAAAACAGATGTCCTTTCACGTGCCCATGACAATGTGGTCGCGGCGCATGGAGGTACGGCGAAAACGCTTGACCTATTAAGAAGGTATTTTTATTGGCCAGGCATGGTTAAAGATGTAAGAGATTATGTGAGAAACTGCGAAATTTGCAAGGCAACTAAAGCGCCAAATGTCTGCTTAAAACCTCCAATGGGTCACATGGCAATGTCTGATCGTCCATTTCAACGACTCTATATAGATCTTTTAGGGCCATACCCGCGAAGCAAGCAAGGTAATATAGGACTGTTGATAGTTTTAGACTATTTGACGAAATTTCATTGGTTATGCCCATTGAAGAAATTTACTTCATTAAAAATTGAAGATTTCTTGACTAAGCAAATTTTTCATATTTATGGCGTACCGGAAGTCATCATAAGCGATAACGGTTCCCAATTCAAATCAAACGATTTTCAAGCCTTGCTTACCAAATTTGGTATTAGACATATACTTACGGCCTTATACTCCCCGCAATCCAACGCTTCCGAGCGTGTGAACCGCTCGCTGATTGCCGCAATAAGGGCCTTTTTGAAACAAGACCATCGGGAATGGGATGTAAATATCAGTTCCATTAGTTGCGCCTTGCGCAACTCATTGCATCAATCCATTTCATGCTCCCCATACCATGCTTTGTATGGTTTTGACATGGTTACACACGCATCAACTTATCCACTTTTAAGAACCTTAAATCTTCTGGATGAACCTGTATCTGTTATTGCACGTGATGATCAACTCCAACTGCTAAGAAAAGATTTGCGGAAAAACCTCGAGAAAGCGTATAATCAAAATGTTAGCCAATACAACTTGCGAGATAAACCAGTAACATATCGCGTTGGACAAGAAATTTTTCGCAGGAATTTTGCACAGAGTAGCCAAGAGAAGAAATTTAATGCCAAGCTGAGCCCTATGTTCATCAAAGCACGAATTAGGGATAGAGTCGGATCGCATTATTATATTCTGGAAGATATTCAAGGCAGACTAATAGGTACCTATCATGCCAAGGACATACGGTCATAAACGTTCTTTTTTCCAGCTAATTTTCCTGTTGAAAACACCGTAAAATTATCTGGTTTGTAATGGACGTTTTCCAAAATAAAATCTTTCCCAACAGAATATTTGCATTGGCCTTATTCATATGAAGAAAATAAATTTAAAGAGCGCTTTAAAGTGACCTTTTCCTACACCTTGTCGATATATGGAGCTGTTAAAGCCTTACTGATTTTTTTTTCATGAATTTGAGTGGCAGACTTTAATTATTATCTCACCTAAAATATTTTTTGCCCCCAATTAGAATTTCTGCAAATTCTCCATTTAAAATATTTCCCTTCTAGATTCAACAAACTTTGGCAACTTAGCAGGGGCGTTCTAATTAACATACCCCGAAAATTACCTATATCGATAAAAGGACAAATATCGATTGCAAATCATTACTTGACAGGCGGAAGTAATGTTTTGTCAAATTAGCTTAGGTCGAGTCTTGAAACCTTTATATCCTTCTTTTCTCATCGATCCGTGGAGCAGATAAGACGAAAAAGTTAATATTTAAATCCATATTAATTTATTCAATCAGTAACATAAGTTTTGCTTTCAACAGTTTTCGCTTGATACGAGCTCGTAAGTATTTAAGTGTAGCTATTTTATTATTTTCAACCATGCTGGTTTTAAGCAATCAATTCCTTGTCTTAGGCTTTTTTCTTGAGAAAACGCACATTGACACACGTAGGTGTTGTGAGTATAATTTGCCTGGAAGGTGCACACCAATCTTGATTTTTCAGTGCTTTGTGCACTGCAACTTTGTTGGAAAAGTTGGAGAACTACCAAGGCAAATTAATTAGCATTAGAAGCCGTCACAACATTGCACAAAACCAATACGGGACTTCAAAAGAAGCATTAAAGGCTCTCCCACGCTTTGGACAAATA